TAGAAATTAATTACGGCATTCACTATTAAAAACATAAGTGTAACACCCCTTTACTACATGTGTAACCCCCTTTATGATAGTGTCAAAATACTTTGGGCTGCATGTATAATCATGAATGCTTCCGAATTAATCAATAAGAACACACAGTATCTTGGAGAAGATTCCGAAATTCTTTGGAAACAAATTCGTGAAGCTGAAATTTTCTTGTTGCAGTCATATGGTATGTAGTATATAATGCAAATCTTAGTTACCTCAATTACTTTATTCTAACTCTAATCCCACTATATATAAAAATAGACACAAACTTAAAATAATAATTTTTGATCAACCGGGACTGCTACTGTGTAGGTCAAAAGAAATATTTGACTTATATATTCCATATAAGAAAATGAACAACCTTGAATCCATCACCTATTTTATTCATACTCTGTGGCTCATGAGAGTCCATTTAATAAGGTCAGTTGCAGAGATCACTGATGTTTACAAAATAATATTGCAAAAAAAACAACATCACCTAACCATGCATTGCAACCAATCTTTTTGATGCATGAATATGGAACTTATTTTACACTGTAAGTTCTTTAGACTTGAAAAAGAAAATCTTTTAATTACTTGTGCAAAAATTTTTTTATTATATATTAATATAATTGAATAATATATCCAAATTCAATAAATATTTGAAAATTTTCATAATGGTAAATGAGTTGATTACATTTACTTACAATATATGATTGAATTCATTTATTTTATGAATATCAATAAAATCATTCAAATCCTCTTTGTATTCATTCTTTTAAATTTTAAAATTTTCTCTTTTTTTTTCTTCCAATTGTATTTATTTCTGAGGTTGCGTTGTTTTATTCATTGTATCAATTTGTCATTTATTTTATTTTATATATTATGTTGTGTGTGAAAAAAATTTTAAATAACTATTTAATTTTATGCAATTTCATTTTCACACATCAACATGTCAATTTTAAATCCATTAATTTCGAGTCAAAGTGATCAAAATTTTGAAAATATAAAGAGCAATTTTTTCATCTTGTTCAATTCTTTGATGAGTTTCATATTAACTATTTTTGTCTAGACAAATATCATGATCACATTACATTGTAATACAATTGTGATGTTAAACAAACACTATTGATCCCTGAAATCCTTGGTAATACAAATGTTCACTTTGGCTTTGTTGCATAATTTCAAAAACGAACAAGTTATCACTAATTTTGAGTAAGCTAACACTGAGAGAAATCCTCAAATATCACTGAAAAATTCGGTGCCCAACTCTCCTATAAATGGTTTTTATGTGTATAAATAACAGTGGCTAAGGAGGATTCTCAACTCTGTCAGGTTAAAAAGGTATATAAGCCTGAAACTGATTCGTCAATACCCACTCTGAAAGTAAAGATAATGAATACCTTTCATGAAGAGAATCAAATCAGATCGCGGATATGTTCATTCATATTTTAAACTGTTTATTATCAATGTTCACAGATATCGTAAACATTTTACCAGTGTATATATCTAATACTAAAGTGACTTGATTGGAATTACGCCAAACTGCATCCGCAAAATGAATTCTTGACATGTGTAACTAACTGTACCGATTTGGATATAATACTAAATTTAATTTATTTTTTTATTTTTTTGTCAATTGGTTTTTTTAAAATTTGATTCTGATTAATAATAATATTGCAATATTAGTAATAATAATAAATAATAATAATAATCATGGGTCACACGCATCGTCCAACCGCTTTATCACCTTCAGCTACAAAAACAGCAGAGCTTATGGAAACTCGTGCAAAATTTCGTGAAACATTTGAAAAACCACTTGGATGTATGTTCTCTTCTTCATTCCATAATAACTACAACAATAATGATGGCTACTAATGAATTAATTAAAAATTTTCAGGGTTTAATTCAGTAAAATTGGAAGAAGGTGTTTACTTTCAAGCACCAGATGATATTACCAAACCAGATTCACTGTATTTAAAATTTCAAAATGTTTTAAAAGAAATTATTGAAAAGGAACCTGAATTGGCTGAACAAGTAAAAAATGGTGAAAAAGATTTAGGAGTTTTAGAGAATCATGAAAAAGTAAGATTTATTATTATTATTATTATTATTATTTTACGTTTATGTTCATGTTTATGATTGTATGCGCATGATTCTGTAGGCTAGGGAATTTCTTGGACTTGGACCACCAGTAACTTCACTAGTAACTTTACCATCCGAACAAGAAGAATTAGAAGATTCTTAATTTTCAAAATTCATCTTATTTATTGTCAAGATAATAAAATATTTTTTAGTGATAAATTGGGAGGTTTTTTTTTTTAAAAAAAGATAAATCCTTTATAATAATATCAATTATTTATTATTAGTATTGTAAATTGTTATTAATATCAACATAGTATGTATATATTATATTCTCACAAAATCTTACAAGTTTATAACTTCATAGAAGTCCATTTAACCAATATCCAAAACAAAAAACTTGCTATTAAAAACTGTGGTAAAGTAGATGATGATGGCGATGATGATTGATCGGAATTGACAACATT